CCAGCACCGTGGGACAGTACGCCCTCACCTCGGCCGCGTGACTATTCACCAGATCGCGAAAGTACTGCAACACGAGATACCGAGAAGGAGCGTGATTATGAAAAGGAAAAGGAGCAGCGAGAAGCTGAACGAGAAAAAGAGGAGACACGGGATCAGCAGAAGAAAAAAGCAACGAAGGAAGTCCGTGCTGCCGTTTCTACCCAGTCTCGCCCAAGAACAAAAACTAATGAGGTAGCTGCTTTTTTATGGTGTCTTAATCAGTGGCTTATCGCTTTTTATTCTTACCTCTTTTGATAGATCGCTCGGCTGCTTGAAGATCTATGCGAAGGCTCATGGGCTAATACTGTTCGGCGGGTGTCATCTAGCTCACGCCGTCCTACCGAAGAGGCCATTATTGAGCGTAATAGTAGGAAAGAAAAGAAAAAGGTGATTTCTCAATAATTTTCAGCTACTGAAAGCTGTAGTCGAAAGTTTGCTGCTCTGAAAAGTCATTCCAATTCTGGAATACGGTTCTTCATTGGTTTTGGGATTATTTACGGAGCGAACTACGATTTTATTCATGTATTTAATTGTATTCATGTACTCCATGATCTTATATTTTGATTAAGATGGAGAAAAATCGCAAAAAGGAGCGCTCACGAGAACAACGGGCATCAATTGCTTCCTCTTCTGTATCATCATTGACTACATCGGCCTCGTCGAAACCTGCTAGACGAAAACTGAAGCAGCTTAGCGATGACTCCAGCTCGGGATCATCCAGTGATTCAGATGAGGTTGTGCAACCTGTCCGGAAAGCAGCAGCAGTGGAAAAAAAGAAAACGGAAGCGGTGAGCTTTGTTTGCGTTTTTAATGCCTTATGTATCTATGAACTATCAGTATTAAATGCCTAATCTCATTTAGTATTCTAGGTCCCTGATTTGCAGAAACGAAAGCGAATCTCACCGCCAACCTCAGACATGTCGTCAATCCGATCTAGCGATTCTGACTCTGACTCTGATGATCGCATACCATCGAAAAAAGGTGGCAAACGCCGTTTCTCACCCGGAGAGAAGAAATCGTCGGAGAAGAAAAAGTCGTACTCATCAAGTTCAATCTCTTCTGTTGCCAAAAAGAAGGCTAAAGTTAGTGTCCTAATCAATAAAGTTTATT